CTAAGAAACAGTTTGAAGAAAAGGGTTATATATTTTAGGGGCCAGCTACATCTCACAGCATTTATCAGAAGCACTGCCATCGTTTATGTACATCTCATGAAAGAAAAATTTGCTCACCTAATCGCAAAGATCACAGGCCCAATTCTATAGTTGATTGCCCAGGCTACGGTGTTATATATAGTGAAGGGAAATGAGAGATCTGACATTTTTAAAATTATTGCCCAGGTTAGGTTTTCGACCTGTAACAATTATTCATTGCTTAAAAATGCATTAAAAAGTGTTCTGACTTACGCTGTCTTTGGCTGCTACTATAATTTGCAATTTGCCTTTTCTCTCTTGTTATAATTTTTTTTTATTCTGACTCTTTTACTGCTAATTCTTGGCTGTATGAATACTAGTTAGGATAGTAGAGGTAACTTAAATAAATGACCTTCAGAAGGCATTAATCCTAGATTTGCCCATTTTACTATCATAGGAAGAAGCTCATCCTAAGGAAACATGAGTGGTCCAACAGCATCCAATTATCTTCCTACAAGATTTCAACCTGTCTCTCACTGACGTGGCTTTCCCAAACCCAATTAACACTAGCTGCTGAAGTCCTGTCAAATGTCTCTATTTTGGCTATAGTTCTGTGTCAATGAATTATTTTTATGCCATATTAACTGGAATGGCAAATGACCTGGAGTTTAATATTATCCCCAATAAAGGGAGACTGTAGAGGGAAATTTTTTTTGCTTCTAATATTGTATTAAGTTAACTAAAGAGAACCTCTTTCATTTTCCAGACTTCAGAAACAGAGATCTTCCTTCTGAGAAAATACACAATTTGTAATGAATTTTACCTGCTGTTATATATGGACACTTGAAAGCCAATTCCACATTGTTGCCAAAAAAAATACTGTTCAGAATTCAAGGACATCTTGATCTCACATGTATGGGCATTGCTATACGGCAAACGTAAGCAAGCTGCAGATCCCCATTTAGGATTTTAATACCCATGATTCTTGGCCACGGGTCAGCAACCCGTGGCTCTGGAGCCACATGTGGCTCCTTTATCCCTCTGCTGCAGCTCCGTCACTCAAAATATGTGTCACAACCGCCAATGTACGACACCTGCCAACACACAATTTATTGAGCTTTTTGACCCCCCAGTAAACCAACCATGGATAAATAACTTTTTTTATACATAGCATAAAGGTAAAAAACGATAGATGCAGTGTTATCTTCATTTTAGATGTCAAAAGGGTTTTGTGGCTCCCGGCGTTTTCTTTTCTGTGGGAAATGGGTCCAAATGGCTCTTTGAGTGTTTAAGGTTGCCAACCCTTGTCCTTGGCCAATGGAATTACTGACTGGAGTCTAAGGAAGCTGAAATTCAAAATATCTGATACATAGGTTATATTCCATGACTCTAGCTAGGATATTTATTATTAAATAAACAAATGCATTTTGACCTTATGAGCCAAAATCATCAGAACAAAATGTAGAGTTCTTTTCCATACAATGGACCTCAATTGGACTAGACATGATTACTTAGTGCTTTCCTTTTTTGTTGCATTCCCTATAATCCTGATGGTTATCTCAGTTTAATTCCTTCACATTTTTTACAGTAGAGCCAATTGTCCAGGGACCAAGGAAACAATAAGACTTTGGCTGTAGCACTGAAAGCTTTTCTCCAAATCACATGTGAAAGCCAGAAAATGTCTAGTTAAATTCCTTTACATTTGGTCTTGAGTCAGAGATAGCAAGATTTGAAAGCAGTATCCTCTGCAGTTATAATTTGAAAATTGTGTGGGGGCAGGAGAGAAGGGGGGAGGCTGGAAAGCACTACTGCTGTTGGGAAATGAGGGTCTGATTGGGTTCACAGCTGGGAACAGGAAGGAATGTCCTACTTAGCAGGTCTCTGCCAGACAGCTTCAAAAGCAGTGTCATAACAGAGCCTGTTTCCACTGCAACCACGGCTGCATCTCGTAAAACAAAAGGCATCTTAATGATGCTCTCCAACCCAACCCTGTATTTTTGTTTCTTGTGCCTACATGCAAGGGTAACTTTGGCAAATGGTGGCGACGGTGAAAGCTGAGCGACATGACAGATGTGGTGGGAGATCGCTCAGCCTGCTCTCCAAGTTTCAAGAGGACACCCTTTAAACGAGACGCCTTAAACATTGCAAACTTATGAAGCGTTCCCACCAATGAAGTTGGGTGTGAAGTTAGCATAGCTCTTCAGCACAAAGGGGAACTATCTCTTACGCACTGGAGAACAATATCTATTTGCCAGTCTTCCTATCTATCTATCTATCTATCTATCTATCTATCTATCTATCCATGATTCTATATATCTTCCTTTTAACTGTTCTCATAATCTTATGCCAGGTTTGTCCCAAGAGTCCCAAAGGCTGGGCTTTGCAAGGCAGGCACTGTTAAAAAAAAATTCATATGGGAGGGTTGTAAAACGGAACCTCAAGCAACTTCGCAGGAGCTGTCATAGATCTACCAGCAATGCAAACCACACCACCATGTGCCCTGAGCAGATGCTAGCATTTAAGCACACTTTTTTTTTTTAGCAGGGAAGCAGAATTGGCGGCGGGTGGGGGGGGGAGGAAGGAAACTTAGGGAGAAATAGACCTTTGGATATACCTTATTTCCACAGCAATTTGTGTAGCATGAGTGTGCTCTGAAAGGTTTAAAATCCTGGCGGGGGTAGGGGAAGTTGCACATTTTTCAAACCTACTTTCCGATTCAGCAAGATAGCATTCCAACTCAATAAAGTCCGTTGTCGCTAAATAAACAGAACCATTTGCCTTTCCCATGAAAGAATGATTCATCTTCCAGATTCCTGTTTTGTTTTAAACCTAACTGGAGTCCATCTACATGTCTAGCATGCAGACACTTAACATTTTCAAAGCTAATGCATAGCTAAATATGCTGCTGAGGAAAAGAACTGGGGCTGGAAAAAAAAAAAGCTTTAAAAGTGGGGGAAGGAAAGCAAGTTGGGAGTTCAACAATTGCACAAAACAGCAGTGGTATCTCACTGGACTACCCTGGCGCAAGCAGCAGATTTCGGGTCCCCAAATCAACGAGATTCCCAGTGCCCCGTCACCTATGCTTGGCACTTCAGAGAACGAGATGAGAGAGATTCTTGAATTAGAACCGGACACAAAACTCTTGTTTGGAAGCCATATTGCATTAGAACGATGACAAACTATAGAAAAGCTTTTAGAACACTGCCCCCTAGAGTCAGGAACGGGTAGCACATATGTGCGAGGGGAACCTTTACCTTTAACATCAGATGCCTTTCCTATCACCCTGCAATTGTTCCCAGTATTACTTCTCTTCCCCCAAACTGTTTTACTGTCTTAGACATTCCATTCCGAATGTTTGCTCTGGCAATTCTTCTCGGAAATTGTTTTGCAATGACCGACCCCCCCACCCACCCCCTGCTGCCTCCCACAGCCTCAGAGCTATTCTTGCTTTTAAAACCACCACAACAAGTTAACAGTCTTCATGTGCAAGATAGTGGAAGATTGTGCATTTAAACCTTCCGGATACTTAAGATTAACATAAGATATAATTGTTTGTGAGGGTTCCTGCTCAGGAATACCAAAAAGCTTCAGAGTCTTTTAAGTATAGTTACTTATTTGAAAATGTGCTATCCCTTATGATGAACAGGGTTATGAATATATATTCAGGGGAATAATAGTTTTGATACAGCTCGCACATCACCTGGAGCAAATGGAAATTACTCTGTTGATTTGCCCCAAGCTCATGACAAGAAGATAATGGAAAAGCATCCTTCAACAATCAGATAAAACATGCACAGACTTTTCTCCCTCAGTGGAAAAGCTACACAACTATCTCTGATCACCCATTTAACTCTTGGCATGAGATATCCTGATTCTCTCTCCTCCGGGCACTGCTCCACGGAATGTGAAATATCATTAAAAAAAAGAGCAGAATAAGTTCAAGACAGACCACTAACAAGGAACAACTGGATTAAAAAAAAAAAAAACAACCAATGACGCTACTACCACAAGACAAGTACTAGGAAGGAGCACTTTTCAAGCTAGGCTAATTGGCATCTTCACACCTTCCAGAATTCAAACCATGGGAGTTGATTTCCAATACACTCCCAAGAACCAGTCTGGGTAAACTGATCCAAGGGAGAAAAAGCAGGACAAACAAACCACTGGGGGGGGGGGAGACAACTCCCTAAGATTCAGTGACTCTAGCGAACATAGCTGACCATTCAGGAAAAGGATCACCCATCACTACCAACCGCCACAGGGCTGGTTACTTAGCTGTATAAATATAAAATCACTACGAGTGACTCTAAAATCACTAACATTTCTGAGGAGGGACTCTTTCAGGAAATTAAAAGTGAACAGATTAGATGAAACCAGAACACACCCACATACACCCACGGTCTCACCCACAAACAGGTAACCGAATCTTTTCCAACCTGGTGCCTCCAGGGATGAAGGATGGCAAATGCCAGTCAGTACAGCTAGCCCAGTCCAGCCTAGCATATCCCGAGAGGGAGGAAAGCTGCTATAAGGGGTATTTCTGCACGTTGGGCACCCTGCCACGCACTTCGCAAAATAATAATAATAATAATAATAATAATAATAATAATAATAATAATAATAATAATAAAAAATAATAATAATAAATAATAATAATAATAATAATAAACAACCCTTGCTCGTCCTACGAAAACTCTTGGTTTGCCACTCAAGGGTCTCAACAGCCGAGCTGGCGCTGGTAAAGCGACGAAAAGATACCTCAGCAGTGCCTCGCCCCGCTGCTTTCAGCGGCCATCCTCGACCGCGGCGAATCCGAAGGCTCTCTTCCGAAACGGACCGCGCTCTTCCGAATCAAGGACCGGTCCGTCGGAGAAGTTAAAAACCCCAGCTTGTCACGTGACTCGGTCCTATTCTAACGACCGCGAAGCTTCCCCAACCTCCAGAAACCGAACTCCCCGAAAACGGCAGCAATCCCCCTTTACCTGTTTCCCCGGGTCGCTCCAAACTCCCGACGTCAGGATGTTTTTTTTTCTCTCTCTCTCTCTACAATCCCACGAATTATTTCCTTTCTCGTCTTTTTTTTTTTAAATGATGATGATGATGACTTTTTCTTTTTTTCTTTAAACGGACTTTTACTTTTCTTCGGGGGGAGGGGTGGACTTGCTCGCAAAGCCCCAGAAAAAAAGCGCAGCCTTATTAAGTATCTCGTACCTCTCTCTCTCTCTCTCTCTCAGAAATCTCTCTCCTTCTCTCTGTTCTTGCAAGAAGGCTCGGATTCGCTAGCGGGAGATTTTCTCCAAATGAGCAACAACAGCAGGCTTGTCAAAAAAAAAAAAAAAGCCTCTAGGGAGGCAGGCATGCACGCACATTAAAAACACACATACACCCCGAAAGCATAGGGTGGCTTGGAAGGGGGGGGAAAAAATCTACCGTCAGCGGGGCGGTGGAGGCGAGGGAGCCCGCGCCTCGGCTCCAGAGCCCAGCATCGTTTTTCCCCGGGATCCGAGCTGGGGTTGGGATTTCTCTCTCTCTCGGCCGCTCCGCTCCTGCTTTTCCTACAAGTCGGCTGCCTCCTCCAGCGATCCCAAGCAGTCCGGTTTGGATTATAGCGAATGACCGCCCGAGCCAAGGCAGCCAGCGAGGCTGGGTCCAATGTGGAGCCCCTCCCTCCCTCCCTCGCCGAATCGGAGCGGCTCGAGCAGCCTCCTCCAAAAAAAGGGGCCCGGGGTGGGCTCGCGGGCTGCGGGCGGCCAGGCAGGCGGACGGACGGACTCTGTGCTGCTCGCGCGCCGGGGCTCAGAAGCCTCGCCGATGCAGAGCTCGCCTCGCCTGCATGCTAATGAGCCCGCGTGATGTCAGCAAGTCAAAAAAGCCCGTTCGGGCAGTTCGGCGAATTGGCTGGCCAAGCGCCTCGGGTTTATATTGACATGCAAATCATGCAAGGTTGTCCTTTTTTTTTTTTCTTCCCCCCCCCCCGGTCTGTGTTAACGCCCGATCCTCTCCGCTGGCGCTTCACGCTTTCCCCACCTCCGCGTTGGTCAGGGAGGCAGCGGAAAGGGGGGGGAAAGCAGTGAAGGTAAAACTGGAGGGAGAGAAGACACACACACACACACACGTGTGTGTGTGTGTATACACACGTGTGTCTATGTGTGTGTATGTGTGTATAGATATATATAGATTTTCTTACTTCTTCGTAGGGTTTATGTGTGTTTTTCTTCTAGCCAGGTTTTCCCTACGTAGCCAAGGTTTTTTTGTAGCTCCAGCTCAGTAGATGCCAAAACCTTGGCTACGTAGGGAAAACCTGGCTAGAAGAAAAACACATATATATAGATATATACACACAGACGTGTGTATACACACACACATATACATACACACATGTATGTATATGTATGTGTGTATATACATATACATATACGTGTGTGTATAGATATATAGATATAGATATACACACACGTGTGTATATACATGCATAGATACACACATACACACACACACATATATATATATATACATACATACACATACACACATACATACCAATATATAGATATATATACGCGCGCACACACACACACACACACATGTATGTATGTATGTATATTTTTCTTCAGCCGGGTATTTTCCTACGTAAACAAAATCCTACGTGATTTCACTGAGCTATGGCTGCAAGTTGAGAAACTTGGTTTACTTAGGAAAATACTCGGCTGAAGAAAAATATACACACAAAAACCTACGACAACACACACACATACATACCGGTATATAGATATATATGCGCGCACACACATATACATACACTCTGTGTGTGTGTATATAAAACCTTTGGTCAAAGAATGGGGAAGGGGGAGAGGGAGAGAGAGAGAGAGAGAGAGCTAGGATGCACATCAATTAGGAGAGCTGGTTGAGCTTCTACAGCCCAAAGGACGGGACCGGTCAGTCCCTCATTTGCCAATTAGTTGCCCTTTGCAAAGCAGGTTGTGGTCAGAAGGGCAGTTGTTGACAGTTGTTGTCTCGGGATTCTTGGCAGTCCCTATGGAGGGAGACTATCCTTCAAACATCGTGCTCTCCAGCCCTGCAGGGTTTTAGATTTCGGGGTTAGAAAGGTACAAGGATTCAGCATCATACAAAACTGTGGTTGGACAAACCTGGGTGCCTTTGCATCCGTGCGCTTTTCCTATGCACGCACGCATTTGCAAAACGCCTTTAACTACCTGTATCTGCATTCACTTGAAATACAATTTTATTTTTGTGCTTAAGAGTCTTGGGTAGATTGTGCCTATTGGGCTAATTTATGATTCGATGTTTTGCATGAGCCCAGAAAATAGGCTAATTCACTTTAAGCATTCTGTGCAAATGTGGTCAGTGTTTTTATTAAGTGGCTATTATTAATTCAGTGTCTTGCAGGTAGGGACAACAGGTAAATAGAAGTCTTGAACACTGGCCTTCTTTTTGGTAGTGATTCTCTCTATACAGAGAAAAAAAAAGGAGGCACTGAATTCCCGCAAGACTTGAGCAAAGATGAAAAATGCTGCAGGCTCTTTTAGAAAAGAGCCTGATTTAATGAATGCACATCTTATCAACCCAAATTTCTATAACGCTCCTGGGGAGATCTCTGATGCTGCCTTCCAAATTAGAACATATGATGTAGTTTACTACAGCTTGATATTTGCCACATTAATCCTCATTATTAATGCCTGCTTTTTGAAATCCAAAGGCCACTCAAAGTTTAACAACCTTTTTTTTTCAAGTTTAAACTAAAATAAAACTGATTAAAAGTCACTACCACTTAATTCAGATGGAAGAAAGTTTTGTGATGGAGGAAGATCGTAGTTCTTTTCCAGAACAGAAAAATTGGGGACTGGCTGCAAATCCCAGGGAGCACATACTGGTACCAGTACTTGGGAGCTGCACAGGAGAAAGACCTCTCCTATCAGGGTGAAGGTGTCTTTAAGAGAGCTCTACTGCTGATCATAATGTCTAAACAGGCTCATTCTAAAATAGCCAGTTCCATGTGTACATAAACCACAAGCTGCTTAAGACCTTTGAAAGTAAAAACCAATAATTTAAATAGCAACCTAAATGCAACTGGCAACCAATATAGGATGGCCAACAATGCAAGTCTTCCTTTATCATGCATTAGTCAATAGAGTCTTGGTAGTACAGTGGTCTAAGGCACCCTGTTATTAAGCTGGTTATTAAGACCAGCTGCCTGCAATTACTGCAGGTTCGAATCTCGCCAAGGCTCAAGGTTGACTCAGCCTTCCATCCTTTCTAAAGTAGGTAAATTGAGGACCCAGTTTGTGGGGGCAATAAACTGACTTTGTATAAATATACAAAAGGATGAAGGCTATTGCTGAGCACATTGTAAGCCGCCCTGAGTCTCCGGAGAAGGGCGGCATATAAATCAAATTTTAAAAAAAAAAAAAATAGCCTGGCAGTTGTATTTTATACCAACTGAAGCTTCTAGTGTCACAAGGCCCGGGGCCTGGATCTGGCCTGCGGGGTGCTTAGATCTGGCCCACGGAGCCGTCCTGGAAAAAGTGAAGGACCAGCCCACGGTGCTTATGCCAGTGAAAACGGAACTCAGGAGGGCCACATGCAGCCCCCCACCCCCCGAGCTCCATTTGTGCTGGCAGAGGGTTGCAGGAGGTCATCGCAGCTGGAAAAAGTTCACAAGGGCCGCACGCAACCCCTTCTCCGAGCTCTGTTTTCGCCGGCAGAGGGGTTGCAGGAGGCTGTCGCACGCCCACCCAGCCCCCCAAGGTCAAACACAACCCTGATGCAGCCCTCAATGAAATTGAGTTTGACACCCCTGTGTCAAAGATTGCTTTTTTCAGGAGGCAACTGGACTTTCTGGTTTTTCTTTGAAGACGTTTTCTTTGAAGAAGTTTTGCTTCTTCAGCTCTTCCAGCTCATCTTGGATGAGAAGCAAAATGTCTTCAAAGAAAAACCAGAAAGTCCAGCTGCCTCTTGAAGAAAGCACTTTTGGGACAACCATGACCTGGATGACTGAGAATCTCCATAGATACGAAGCTTCTAGACATCCCTCAGAATTAATCCTATGTAGAACCTATTTCAGTATTCAAGCCTCACTATAAGACAAAAAATGTTAAGGTCAATCAGCTCAGGAACAGGTGCATGATGTTCATCGACCTCCTGCCATCATCACCACCACCAGAGCATTCAGAGATAACTGAGAATCAGAAAGTACTCCCCAATGGATCATCTTTTTTTAGGAGGTTCAATTTTATATCAAACAAGCAATTGACCAATACTATAGAATGCAGTACTGCAGGCTAATTCTGCTGACTGCTGGCAGTTCAAATCTCACCAGGTCAAGGTTGACTCAGTCTTCCATCCTTCCGAGGTGGGTAAAATGGGGACCAAGATTGTTGGGGGCAATAGGCTGACTCTGTAAACTGCTTAGAGAGAGCTGTAAAAATACTATGAAGCAGTATATCAGTACTATTGCTATACAGGTAGTCCTTAACTTACAATCATAATTGGGACCAGCATTTCTGTTGAAAAGCCACAGTGGTAGCTAAGTGAATCTTTTTATGCCTTTTTTTTTTGCTATGACTGTTAAAACACTGCAGTTATTTAGTGAATCGTGGTTGTTAAATGAATCCAACTTTCTCCCATCTACTTTGCTTGCTGGAAGCCAGCTGGGAAGGTCTCAAATGGAGTTCACGTAACCCCAGGATGTTGCAACATGCCAGTTGCCAAACCCCCAAATTTTGATCATGTCACCATGGATGGTCATAAGTGCACAGACCAATTGCAAATCACTTTTTTTTCAATGAGGTTGTAACTTGAGTGGTCACTAAATGAATGGTGATAAGTGGAGGACTACCTCTGTCTGCATGTCTGTCTTGCTTGGATTTGAGCTGGCAAAACGGAGCTAAGGGAGTCGGAACCCAGCCCATATGGAGTACATCTGGTTAGGGAAAGATTGATCTAAGCCTAAATCCGTCCACCATCTGCTAACTGAAGGTGCCAGATCCTTTTAATTGAAGGTATTCCGTGCAAAGGTATAGTTAACAGTTATAGTTAGTTACTAGATGCAAAACCTTCTGCTCCACTCCACATCCTTTTGAAAAGGCCACATTCCACTGCTGTCCAATTTTCAGAACTGCTAACGCAACTAACAAAGAAACGAGCAAGGCTTTAATAACCTTGACTGAAACAGAAAAAAAAAATGTTCTCTGGGCAGGCAGCTCACTTTTCAAAGTCCCACAGCACTGCACAAATAAAACTGAGGCTGTTTCTGCTAAGCCTATGATGAACATCTTGCCATAAAATCTGTAGGGTATGGAAAGGGATAAAAATGTTTCTGATCAAAAAAAATGAGAGTAAAATAACTATATTAATTTTTGGGTGGCCCACTGACTAGGCTACATGCTTAAAAATAAGATGCAGTGAATGGGAAAAAAACAACCACAACTTGGGGTGCCGTTATCTGGTTTGTTTATGATTTCTCAGGTGTTAAAGACACATTTCATCTGCTGCTCCTGGATTTTTGAGCTGTGGATTTTAGCCTTGAGGTCCAGATCTGTGAGCCTCACTCTGCCTATGTACTACTTTTCTAGCAGCCTGTCTGTAGTGTTATCTAAAAAGAATCACCTGCATGAGCAATGTTATGTTTGCCAGTCACAGTAACCTAAGGCAGCATTTTTCACAGAAGCTCCAACTGAACAGGACTTGTTCTCAAATCCAACTATATTTTCCCTGGACTATTTCCCCCAGTGAATACACTTTCCCAATTTGAAAATCTTTTAAA